TTCAAGGCTCAGCTCTGTTGTGGCCTCTTCCAAGAAGCCCTGTGTGATTTCCATAATAAATAAGGAGCCTCTCATCCCAGAGAGGGGAGCTGGCTTGATAATATAAGGACCCCCTTCCTTCTACCCCACTGCCTCTCAGGAGGCCTCACCGTCGTCTTCTCTAGACAGTGCAGCAAGTGGTGATGTTGCTGCTCAAAAGCGGAACGATTCCTGACATATAGTGCCTGGTCCTCGCCACTGCTGCTGTCCTGGAGTAGATGGAGCAGAGAAATAGGGTGGCACCTTCCTCCCCCCATCATCACTCACATCCTCCTCCAATGTGGGCTTCTACTCACCTCAAGGCCCCCGTTCTGCTTGTACTGCAGGAAGGCATTGGTGGTACCACTCTTTGCCAACCGGATCCTTGCCAAGCGCACCTTCTACAGAGAGAGGAGATAAGGGGTCAGGTGGGTAAGCCTGAGAGTAGATGGCTCAGGGTATGGGGAAGATGGAAGATGCAGTTACCTGCTGTGCTCGGCGCTTGTCAGCACGCTGGTTCTGGTGGTAGATGCGGCTAAAGTTGGACACAATGACTGGTACAGGCAGAGCAATGACCAAGACACCACTGAGTGAGCAGATGGACCCGAAAATCTTGCCAGCAATGGTGCTGGGCACCATGTCTCCATAGCTGAGGCGGGGGAGGTAGGCCAAGGTCAGGAGAACTGCCCACCCACCTTTCTCAGTCTCCCACTCCATCCCATCCAACCCCAACTCACTCTGCAATCCTGGCCAGACACTCAAACTCTCTGAGCCTCAGTTTCTTGCTCTGCAAAATGTGGCCAGTGACATCTCTGGCCACCAATGGGTGGGTGGGGGGGGTCAAATGAAAAACTGACCTGGCCTGGCCCTCATCGCCTGCCATCTGCTGTCCCCAACCAAGCTGTGTACTGGGCATCTGAGTCAGCTGGAAATCTATTAATACCAAACAGAGGGGAGAATGAGGAAATCATAGGCAGTAAATATAGCCTCCTGGGGAGAGAGTCCTCCTCCACAGGCCAGCTGAGGGGCTCTGAGTCCCAGGAGGATTATTCTGTCAGTTTTGCCTGCCTCTATTTTACCTTCTCTAGGTAGGACCTAGGTAAGGTCTTGCTCTTTCCTGACCCTCCTGCCTTAGACTCCCCAGTAGTTGACTACAGGCAGGCAGCACCATGCCTAGCTTTTTTTGGGTGGGTTGAGAATCAAACCTGGGCCTCCCACATGACTTCAGACTGCTGGGTAGCAGCATCAACCAGTGCGCATTATCACAACTAGGCTACTAGGACCCCTTTCTTATTTTCCTAGAGGAAGCCTTGAACACTGTCCTATATGAAAAAAAAGAGGGGGGAGCCTTGAAATCCCCACCCTTTCTCCATGCTATCCCCCTCCCAGGGAGATGGTGCAGGAGCCAACCTTATTAACTTGTTTTACAGAAAGGGAAACCAAAGCTCAGGGAAATTCCCAACTTTCCCAAGATCAACACAGCGTACTTTTGTTCTAACCACAGGACCAATTAGAACTCATCCACAGAAATGCAGCCTCTATAGTCTTCACCCTCTAAGGCATCTGCTCAGGTTTTGTCCTAGGATAGATCTTCCTTATTTCTGTATTTTGACTCATTTTAAGAATTCAGGACTCTGCTCAAAAGTCCTTCCAGGGGCCAGCACATAGTGTAGTGGTGAAGGCACTGGATTCCCACACAGTTGACTGTCGTTTGAGTCCCAGACCCAGCAGTTTGAAACTCATATCAGGCGCGTGTGTGTGCATGTCTAAAATTATGACAGAGAATGGAGGAGAAGGGACTGCAGCATGGCCATCTCCCCTAGGGGGTGACTTCTCACTTTTTGTCTCTCTATCTCTCTGACAAGTGCACGCACACTATAGCAAAAATCTCTCTCTCAATAAAAAGTCTCTCCAACTTTGCCATTTCTGGCTGTGTGATGTGTCATCTCAGACCATGCCCTGAATTATCAGACATGGGCAGCCATCCACCCTCACAGGGTTGCTGTGAGAACTGAATAGGATAAAAAGCATCAAAATAACCAATCCCAACCAATCATCAGGGCTCAATATTTGCCTGTTGATCCAGTCCTGAACCTCCAAACATAATTAATTTTTGTTCATTACAAATCCCAAATCAGTGTCCCTGCATTCCTGTTAAGAAACTGAGCAAGCCCAATTCATTCAACCCCTCATTTAACAGATACTGAACACCAACTATATACCTAATTCCACTGATGGAAACTTAGAGAAGGATCACAGTACCTGCTCTAGACAATGTCTTTAAGAATGTCATGAGTTTGGTGATTCCATCTGATACTTGTATCCAAACTCTGCTTCCTTTCAGGGATTGGCAGAGAAAAAAATAAAGCTGAAAATACCATGTTCTAGGAAACATCAAAGAATCACAAAGCCATAGAAATAGTGCTCCCCACAACAGGGAATTCTAGAAAGCTGGGAGACCTGAGTCCTCAAAACAGAAAAAGAGGGGGATAGAAAGCCAAAGCCTATGTATCCTATACCAGAAACATTCAGAGAACTTTTACAACTGCGATGTCATAGAATCTTCCCTAGATGATGAAGGAATCACCATTTCCCATTTTACAGAGGAGGAAATTAAGGCCTTGAGTAAACAATGTCAACAGAAAGGGAGCAACTAAGACAGTCCTTGAACCCAAGTCTCCTGGCCCGGAAAATCAAGGCGCTGAAAGAACTGGGAGGGACCTGAAGTTAAGTCCAACTCCTTCAGTTTTTACAAATGAGTTCCAGCAGGTAGCGTGGTGGTTAAGGCACTGGACACTCCCATATGACCAACCATGGTTCAAGTCCTAGACCTGGTGGCTTGCTTTCTCACTTTCCCTCTCTCCTGCTCTCTGTGCCTATCTCTGGTCAAATTAAAATGAATGAATAAATAAAATTTTAAAAAATATTTTTTTAATGAGTGAACTGAAGCTCAAAAAGAAAGCAAGAGCTTATTCATCTACCCTGCTTTATTTTACAGAAAGGGTGAGTGTTAATTGTAATGAACTCATCAGGCAGCTCCCAACACAGGATCTGCACTCACCCAAGTGTGGTCATGGTGACAATGGTATACCAGAAGGCCGCAGGGATGCTTGTAAAGTTGGTCTTGCTTGTGCCCTTCTCAGCATAGAACATGACCGTGGCAAAGATGATGATGGCCATGGTGAGGGAAAAGAGGAGAAAGCCCAGCTCAGAAGCACAGCTCTTGAGTGTGTAGCCCAGAATCCGTAAGCCCTGTGAGTGCCTGGAGAACTTGAAGATTCGGAAGACCCGGAACACACGCAGAGTGACAAAAGCACCCGAGACATCCTCATTCTTGGGCACGAAAAGCCCTATGTAGTAGGGAAGGATGGCCACCACGTCGATGAGGCTCATGACACTCCTCAAGAAGCGGCAACGGCTGGGGGCGGGGAAACAGCCGCAGGAGGTATTCCCCTGTGAATATGAGGACACAGGCCGTGTCCATGCAGAAAAAGGCCAAAGGGAAGCGGTCGCCACAGGGCTGCTCCCTCGATGGCAGCAGCGCTGAGCCCCGGCACGGGATGGTCTCGACTACATTGGCGATGACCGACACAGCGATGAAGAAGCCAGTCACGTAGTAGAAAACGAGGGCTGCCGTGCTTGTATGTGGGTTCTCAAAGGCCCGCCAGAGCCGCTGCCTCAGGGAGCTGCCCGCGGGCAGAGCGGGGCCATCCCCCGCCTGCTCAGCCTCCTCGTACTCTGTCAGGCCCTCC